TTTTTTAAAATTAATTTTTTTTTATTAATTTGATTTATCAATAATCACTTCCATATGCTTTTGAGTTTAAAATTTTTCTCCACCTTCCTCCCCACCACACTCCCCAAGATAGCGCACAATCTGATATAGGCTATACATTTACATTCCTATTAAACATATTTTCACATTAGTAGTGTTGTAAGTAAAAATTAAAAACAATAGGAAGAACCATCAGAAAGAGGAAACAAAACTCAATAGAAGAGAAAAAAATAACAATTCAACTTTCATAGCTCTTTCTTTGGAAGTAGATAGCATTTTCCATCATGAGGCCTCTGGAGATGTCTTAGATTCTTGTATTGCTGGGAAGGGTTAAGGTTATCAATATTAGTCATTACACAACGTGGCTGTTATTGTGTACAACGTTCTTTTGGTTCTGCTCATTTCACTCAGCATCAGACCATACAAGTCTTCCCAGGTTTTCAGAATAATGTTTTTAAATGTATAAAGTAAAATGCAAAGATTACAAAAGAAACCAATTATATTGAAATACACCTATCAAAATACTTTTTTTTTAAAAAAAATCCAACACAACTAGGTTAAGAACTCTGTGCCTCTGACCACGGGTTGGCAAACTACAACTGAGGATCAAATTCAGCCAACTGCCTGTTTTTCTTTTTTTATATTACCCTGTGAGCTAAGAATAGTTTTTATATTTAAAAAATTACAATAGAACCTTATCCAAAAATGTAAAAACCAGTGGAGCAAAGATGAAGGAACAAAAGCAGGCATTCACCTGAACTCTCCCAGTTCCTCTCCAAACAAGTTTAAAATAATGTCTCATAATGAATTCTGGGCTGGCAAAACCAACAAAGGGATGGGTTAAAATGGTTTTCCAGCCCAAGGCAATTTAGGTCTGTAGGAAAGATCTGTTTCATTGGGGTGATGTTGGAGTGTACTCCAGCACAGGCTGGGCCAGTGCAGGCTTCCCCTGGAAAGCCAGCAGCAGGCCTTGGGGGGTGGTGACTGAACTGGCAGCACCAGCTTCCAGAGCTCTCAGCCCACAGATAGTAAAGGAGTAGGGCAGAAGGAGATTATAGGGGACCCTTTGCTGGCACTGGGTGCAGGTGTCTGTTGCACTAATCATAGATGATTCTAGGTTGCAGTCTCAGGGTGGAGAAGAGCACTAATACACTAGAGCATATGGCTGCCAGGAGCAGGGATCACAGTCACAGTTCCAGGGCAGAAAAGAGTGCTTGTGGTCATTCACAGACCACAGCGCATGCCAGGAGAGCAGTGGCCACACCTCTCCTTGGTCACACCACCTTTGAAGAATATAAAATGTACAGACCCCCAGAACTAGCTCTGAAAAGAGCAGCAGGAAAAACCTGAAGCTTGGGATACTACCTCTTCCACTCTGGGAGCACAGCCAAACTTGAACATAAAATTAAAAGTCAAAAAATAGGCTGGAAAATGAGCAAACAACAAAAAAGACTCTGACCATAGAAAGTTACTATGATGACAAGGAAGGTCGAAACAGAAACTCAGAAGAAGACAACAAAATCAAAACAGCTGCATGTAAAGCCTCAAAGAAAAATATGAATTAGTTTCAGGCCCCAAAAAGAACTCCTAGAAGAGCTCAAAAAGGATTTAAAAAATCAAATATGAGAGCTAGAGGAAAAATTGGGAAAAGAAATGACAGTGATGTAAGAAAATAATGAAAAAAGGGTCAACAGTTTGATAAAGGAGGCACAAAAAAACACTGAAGAAAATAACACCTCAAAAAACAGAATAGGCCAAATGGTAAAAGAGGCACAAAAATCCACTGAAGGGAACTCATTAAAAAGCAGAATTGGCTAAATGGAAAAGATGTTACAAAATCTCACTAAAGAAAATAATTCCTTAACAATTAGAATTAGGCTAGTGGAAGCTAACGATTCCATGAGACACCAAGGAACAACAGAACAAAATCAAAAGAAGAAAAAAAAAGAAGAAAATGTGAACTATCTCATTGGAAAAACAAATGGTCTGGAAAACAGATCAAAGAGAGATAATTTAAGAATTATTGGACTACCTAAAAGCTATGATCAAAAAAAGAGCTTAGGCATCATATTTCAAGAAATTATCAAAGGACACTGCCCTGATATCCCAAAACTAGAGGCTAAAATAGAATTGGAAAGAACTGATCACTTCCTGGTTCTGAAAGAGATCCCCAAGTGAAAATTCCCAGGAACATTATAGTCAAATTTCAGAGCTCCCAGGTCAAAGAGAAAATATTGCAAGCAGCCAGAAACAATTTAAATATTGTGGTGTCACAGTCAGAATCACAAAAGATGTCGCAGCTTCTACATTAAAGAATTGGAGGGCATGGGATAAGATATTCCAGAGGGCAAAAGAGCTAGGATTACAACCGAGAATCACCTACCAAGCAAAACTGAGTATATTCCTTCAGGAGAAAAAAAATGATATTTAATGAAATAAAAGAATTTGAAGCATTTCTGATAAAAAGAGCAGAGCTGAATAGAAAATTTGACTTTTAAATACAAGACTCAAGAGAAGCAAGAAAAGGTCAACAGGAAAGACAAATCATAAGTGATACAATACGGTTAAACTGTTTATATTTCTGCATGGGAAGATGATACTTATAACTCCTAAGAATTTTATCATAATTAGGGCAGTTAGAAGGAGTATACATGGACAGAGGTCATGGGTGTGAGTTGACTGTGATGGGATAATATCTCAAAAAATAAAATTAAGGGTGAGAAAGAGGATGCACTGGGAGAAGGGAGAGGTAGAATGAGATAAATTATTTCACATACAAGAGCTTATGTAGTGAAGGGAAAGATGGGGGAATGGCAGAAAATATTTGAACCTTACTCTCATCAGAATTGGCTCAAAGAGGGAATAACACACTCAGTAGGGTATAGAAATCTATCTTACCCTAAAGGGAAGTATGAGGGGAAAGGGACAAGAGAAGAGTGGGGTGCTGATAGAAGTGAGGACAAATTGGGGGAGGCAGTGGTTAGAAGTAAAACACTTTTGAGGAGTGACAAGGTGAAAAGAGAGGAAGAAGAATAAAAAAGGGGAAATAGGATGGAGTAATTATAACAGTGAAAATATTTTTATAGCAAGTTTCTCTAATAAAGACATCATTTCTCAAACATATAGAGAACTGAGTCAAGTTTATAAGAATACAAGTCATTCCCCAATTGATAAATGGTCAAAATATATGAACAAGCAGTTTTCAGGTGAAGAAATCAAAGCTATCTATGGTCAAATGAAAAAAATGCTCTAAATCACCGTTGATTAGAGAAATGCAAATTAAAACAACTCCTAGGTATCACCTCATGCCTATCAGATTGTCTAATATTACAGAAAAGGAAAATGACAAATGCTGGAGGTGATATGGAAAAATTGGGACACTAAAGTATGTTAGTGGAGTTGTACACTGATCCAATCATTTTGGAGAACAATTGGGAACTATCACCAAAGGGCTAAAAAAACTGTGCATACCCTTTAATCCAGCAATATCACTACTAGGTTTGTATGCTGAAGAGGTTAAAAAAAGGAAAAGGACTTGTATATATAAAAAATATTTATAGCAGCTCTTTTTGTGGTGGCCTAGAATTGGAAATTGAGGGGATGCCCATCAATTGGGGAATGGCTGAACAAGTTTTGGTATAAGATTGTGATGGAATACTAATGTGGTGTAAGAAATGATGAGCAGGATGCTTTCAGAAAAACCTAGAAAGACTTACATGAACTGATGTAAAGTGAAGTGAGCAGAATTAGGAGAGCAGTATATATAGTAACAACAATATTGTATGATGATCAACTGTGAATGACCTGAGCTATTCTCAGCAATACAATGGTCCAAGACAGTTCTGAAGGACCTATGATGAAAAATGCTATCCATCTCCAGAGAAAGAGCTGATGGAATCTGAATTCAGATTAAAGACTATTTTGGAAAACTTTGTTTATTTTTTTGGTCTGTGTTTTCTTTCACAACGTTGACCAATATAGAAATATGTTTTGCATGACGACATATATATAGTCTATATCAAATTGCTTGCCTTCTCAGGGAGGAGCATGGGGAAGAAGGGGGAGAATTTGGAATTAAAAATTTTTAAAAATGAACGTTAAAATTGTTTTTACATATAATTGGGGAAAAATAAGATATTAAAAAATGTAAAAAACATTCTCAGTTGCTGGCCAGGAAGCAGGCTAGATTGGACCTACAGGCCATAGTTTGCTGATTCCTGGCTTAGATCACATTTTCCTGTCTTGCACTTTATATCTCAGACTAGCTAAATAACTGATCTGTGCTTATAGATCTGGGACAGACCTCCTGCTTCTGTCCCTTGTTTTTATTGTGTTGATTTTATTGTATTGATAATTGACCTCCTTTTCTCAAATGACCCTCCTCATTTTTCAGGCCTTTTATTATGCCCCAGGTTTTCCCTGGGGACTGTCCCATTTAGGCCAGAGTTCCTGTTAGCATCACAGTCCATGCCACAGAGGACCAAGACCCTGAATAGCTTCACCCTTGACCCTTCCTTCACATGAGGAAATAATACAATCAGAGGAGTGCTTTGGAGAGTGATTTTCTTTTCAATGGTCATACATGTAACAGTGAAAAGTATTTGTACTTGTTGGGAATCCAGTCTATGCTCATTATTAGGAACTATTTCTTGGAGAAGGCAGGCTTAGAATGAGGAAATAAATCAATGAATGAATGAATAGATGAATGAAAAAACTGCTTACTGTGTGCCAAGCACTGTGTTAAGATTGAGAATGCAAATACAAAAACAATACCAGTCCCTGCCCTCAAGCAGGTTACATTCTAATAGGAGGCAGCAAAACATATAGGGAAGTGAGGCCAGGGATTGACAATTTGGGAAATCAAACTGATACATTATTTCCAAGAGTAATGCATTAACATCCTCATAGTTAGTAGAGGGAGAATGTGATAAGGGTGACTTTGAGAAGATTTGGATTATAGAATTGAAGGACTTGGGGATCAAAGGTTAGCATGAAATGTCATAAGGGAGACAACGAAGATTTTCATCTAGGCTTGAATTATGTGTCTCCTCAAATACTCATTATTTTTCGGACCATGTCCTTGAAGGCTTGTATAACTTGCTTGTTCCTTAGAGTGTAAATGAAAGGATTAAGTAAGGGGGCAACTGAGGTATTAAGTATAGCTACTCCTTTGTTGAAAATAATACCTTCCTTTGCTGATGGTTTAACATACATGAAGATGCAGCTACCATAAGAGAGGGAAACAACGATCACGTGGGAAGAACAGGTGGAAAAGGCTTTTTTCTTCTGTTGGGCAGAGGGAAACCTAAGAATGGTCTGGATGATGTTTGTGTAGGAAAGAATCACCAGCACAAGGGTGATCATAAGCGTTACTAGTGCTAGAATAAAATCAACCACCTCTAAGAGGGTTGTGTCAGAGCAAGAAATTTGCAAGAGGGGCCCATAGTCACAGTAATAGTGGTTTAGCACATTGGATGCACAGAAATCCAGATGGCTTGTCAGGATGATTGGTGATAAAATAATTAAGAGCCCAGCCAGCCAAGAGCACAGAACAAGTTGGTTGCAGACTCTGCTGCTCATGATGGTTGTGTAGTGCAGAGGTTTGCAAATGGCCACGTAACGATCATAGGACATGGCAGCCAGAAGGTAAAACTCTGTTGCTCCCAGAAATATGGCAAAAAAGTACTGAGTGAAGCATCCAGCAAAACTGATGCTTTTGTTTCCTGTTGAAAGGCTGAACAAAAGTCTGGGAGTAAAAACAGATGTGAATGAAATTTCTAAGAAGGAGAAATTGCGGAGGAAGAAATACATGGGAGTCTGGAGATGGGAATCCAGCAAGGTAAGGGTGATGATGGTCAGATTGCCAAAGATGCTGAACATATAGGTGAAGAAGAGGAAGAGGAATATTGCAGCTTGGAATTCAGGGGCATCTGTCAGTCCCAGAAGGGTGAACTCAGTCAGTGTTGTGAGATTTTTCATAGCTGACTTTGCTGGATCTAAGGGTGAAAAAGAAAGAAGTCAGTGGAGAAGTTGGGAGAGGAGGAGAGGAGTCAGATTGGGAGAGAAAAGTTGAGGGAGCTACTGGAATCATCTCATTTGTATTTCCTCTGCTTACTAGGCTAATGGACAGCTCCTCACAAATTCCATTTCCCTTAGGAAGCATACCTCGTACGAGACAGCTTGTCCCTAAGGACCTTTTCATGTCATGGTCTTCCCATACTTGTCTCAGCCCTTCTTCCCAGAGTGACTACTGATTTCTTGCCTTTACTTTTCATGCCCATCATTCTTTCCCTTTCCCTTTGGAAACATTTGGAGTTAAGTGACTTGTCCAGTATCACACAGCTAGTGTCTGTGATCCGATCTGAACTCAAGTCCTCCTGACTTCATGGCCCATGCTCTATCTACTGTACCACCTGGCTGCTCTTTTCTTCTCAGTTTTAAATCCATCACTGCACTCTGATTCTGGGATGGCTAGTGATATGGTAGGTATAGCTTTGGACTTTGAATCAGGAAGATCTTGAGTTCAAATCCTTTCTTACTAGTTGTGTAGCTCTGGGCAGATTACTTAAACTTTTTCAGTTTCAGTTTTTTCATCTGTAAAATGGGGATAATAATAGGACCTACTTCACAGAGTAGCATCGCATTGGACAACATATGCAAAGTGTTTTGTAAACCTTAAGGCACTATATAAATTCTAGCTGCTGCTGCTACTGCTACAACAACAACAACTACTACTACTACTACTACTACTACTACTACTACTACTATCACTACTATCACTACTGCCACCATCACTACTGTTGCCGTTTCTGCTGCTACTAAGCTATCTTCACCAAGCCCATATTTGCAGGTCAGAAATGATTGGCCTCATTTACTCCTTTGGCTCAGAGCTTGTACTTTGCCCCACTGAGCCTTCTCTGAGCTGACCGATCGGGAAATCATCTTGTTATTGCATGTTGGGGTAGTAAGAAGCATCAACTTGACAATACATACTGCCTATCCTTTTTTAAAAGTCATGTCCACAATTTTGTGCCGCCCACTTCCATCTCCCTGGATAATTTTTCCACTTGATTCTTGTTTTTCTGTACACTCAAACTCCTGGAGATATCCATAATGGTGACTCAAACAAACTTCATAGTTCTACATGCCTAACTCCTCTGATTTTCACCTATACAAATGTCAACAACTTAGAGTCATGGTTGCACCCTGGACTTTGTTACTACATGGTGATGTTCCCACTCCAGTATATTATTTTGGTTTGTCCACATATACAATAACAACCTTTCTACTATTTTCACTCCTAGGACCTCCAATCACTAGACTGTGTACTTTGCCCAGTACATCATAAACATAAAAAACAAATGACCTTTACATTGAGCTGAAGTATGCTTCAGTATAGCTTCTACCCTTTGCTCCTACTTCTGCCCTCTGATGCCAAGCAAAACAAAGCTAATTCCTTCTCTGTGACAAAACTTCAAATTTTTTTTTTTTTGTATTTTGCTAGGCAATGGGGTTAAGTGATTTGCCTAGGGTCACACAGCTAGTGAGTGTCAAGTGTCTGAGGCCGGATTTGAACTCAGGTCCTCCTGACTTCAGGGCTGGTGCTGTACCCACTGCACCACCTAGGTGCCCCAAAACTTCAAATATTTGAAGGCAGCTGTTATATACCCCTGCTTTCTTATTCAGGTTTAACACATGCTATTCCATCAAACCATTCTTTACGTAGCCTGGTCTCTTGTTCTCTCCTGGTCAAGCTATGATGCTGCAGTTTGTCAATGTGCTTCTTAAAATAAGGAGGCAAGTATTGAATGCAAAACTCTAGATGTGGTCTGACAATAGCAAGCTTTATCTGGATTTTGCCTTCCTTTTCCTGGATGCTGTGTCTCCATTCAGGAAACATAGACCCATATTAGCTTTTTTGGCTACCAGGTCAAAAGATTGATTCACATTGAGCTAACCAGCCCTGTTCTGCCTCCCCTTGTTTTTTTGAGTGGTATCTAACCATGTCTCTCTATCCTATACCTGTATAGATCAATTTTTGAACTCAAATGTAGGCCTTTTAATCCATTCCCATTTAGTTACAACTTATTATATGTAGACGATAGTTATGATACTCTGCAAATGATAATGGAGACAGCATGGCTTAGATCTTGGAGTCAGAGTGATCTGATTTCCAGTTCTGCTTCTGGAACAAAGTTTCTCAGTGCCCCAGGCAACTCTTTAATACTACAAATTGTAGATAAGTTGGTAGTCTTCATGGGAGTAGAGATTTCCTTACCTGGGAGCTCCCTACAGTGATGAGTTTTGGTTTGGACTAGAAGAAAGATAATAACACATTTCCTTTTCATTACTGTACTCACTATGATTGTTGTTGTAAACCCTGCTTACTCTGTTCCCATCTCTCCCCAATTCTACCCTGAATCCATTCTCAGCAGATGATTTTATCTCATATTTTAATGTGGATATAAAGGGCAAATATTGTGAGCCTCTCTCACCTACTTTTCACCTCGTTGTATATCTTTGTCTATCACCATTCTTTTAGCCTTCCTTCAGTCACAGACAAACCATATCTTTCAATTTCTTGGGGGCTCTCCCATCCTTAGGACCTTCATATAATTTTTTTCTCTCTGCTGATTCCTTTCTTTTTACTTTCAAATATGCATGATAAAAAACTCTCAGAACTGAAAAGAGCCTCAGGGGTCATCTACCCCAGACCCTTGATCAGGAATCCTCTTTTCTATATCTCTAGTAATGTATTTTCAGTTTCTTCATAGATCTTGCCTATACTGAAAAAAATCTGTTACCTATGCTTGCTTCTTCCTCTAGCACATCTTATTTTTCTCTTTTCTTTCACGGCCACCCACCTCAATTTTTTTATTTGGTATTTTATTTTCCCCCAGTTACATGTAAGAACAATTTTTAGCATTTGTTTTTAAAACTTTTGGGTTCCAAATTCTCTCCCTTCTTCCCTCCCGCTCCCTGCTGTCATTAAGAAGGTAAGCAGTTTGATATAGGTTATACACATGTAGTCATGCAAATCATATCCATAACAGTCATGTTGTGAAAGAAAACATAGACAAAAAAAACTCAAGAAAAATAAAGTTGAAGTGTGCTTCAATCTGCATTCAGGCACCATCAATTCTTTCTCTAGAGATGGATATGTGCACCTCACATTGATGGTTTACAACTACTTCTTCTATTTCTTTGCCACCTAATCTCTCCTTAGACTTTAAAAATAAGGCTTCTGTTCCCTATGATGCAACAAAAAAACTGCACTCTTCAAGTCCTTCAGTAACATTCTAATTGGCAAATCCAATAGCCTTTTTCAAAGTCCTTTTGACCCATAAGCTTCATTTGATCATAGATCAAAAGTTGGAAAGAACCTCAGAGGCTATCCAATCCAGCAACCTGCAGCCTTGAGGCTAATTGTGGCCCTCTAGGTCTTCAATTATGTCCCTTTGACTGAATCCAAACTTCACAGAACAAATCCCCTTAATAAAAGGATTTGTTCTTGTAAAACTTGGACTTGGTCAAAAGGTTAGACTCAAGGACCTAGAGGGCCACCCCTGGCCTAGCATCTTCCTTGAAACCATTTCTTTCCTTGGCTTCCATTACAATTCACTTTCCTACTTTTCCTCCTACTTTTCTCATTTTGCTTTTCTGTCTTACTTGCTGGGTCAACTTTCTCTTATTCCCCACCCCAACTCTGGCTATTTCCCAAATTTCAGTTATTGTCTGTTCTTTGCTTACACTGTCTCCCATACTAAACTGATTCTGTCTCATGGCTTTGACTGTAACCTCTTTGTTCCTGGTCCCAAATTTATATTTCTTCTGAGCTTTAGTTCTTTATGTCATTGTATCACTTTAAACTCAATTTGTACAACACCAAACTCTCTTTGTGATGAAACTATTTTAAATATGTTTAAGACCCTTGTTAGATTTTCCATTGAAATATAACATTCATCTAGAAGTATGAACAGTCTTATAAAAAAGTCTTCAGTGTAATGTTTTGGTAATTTCGATCCCTCTACAAAATGGCCTGCTATAAAGATTTTCAGTCATGTACAAGGCCGTTTAGTAAACTGTGCACACAAGACTAACTAAGGACTTAAAAAGTTTAAATGCTAGTGCTTTAAGTGCCTTTTCTGCTCAAATAGAAATAGGCAGTGTGATGTTTAAAAAGTTCAAGAGACATAATTTCTGGGTAATTAGTCATTTGATTAATAATGCTAGCATTTCAATAAAAGAGGTCAGTGGCAACTCTCAAATGGCAAAGACCCTCACGGCTGCAGACTCAAAGTTTATGTAGCTTTGGAAAAGTGAGCATTCTAGAGGCTGGCAATCAACACTGATTAGTAATTAGAGTAACTGGTAATTAGTAAATTAGAATTAGTAACAAGTAATGAGAGAATGAATATTACAATAGAAGCTAGACCTATTCTAATGAATTTTGATTATGTCATTTTACTTTTGAATTATCTCCAGCCTTAGGTGATCTAATCAAAGAATTTAGCCTCACCCAAACCTGAATAGAACACAATGGGATTAAATTTCTTGTAAGGTTGGGTGGGGTCTGACCAAGATTGAGGAGACTTACTATGTTTCCCCACATAATGGTTGCAAGTTTTATACCAGTTTTTTTTTAAAGTGGGGTTCAACCATTATGAGAATTTTTCTTAAAAATTGTGCTGGCATTACTTAAAAATAATTTATTACTAATCTGTCTTTGGTGCAATATTAGGATGCATGGGATACTTGTGAATATATGTTAAAATTGAGTACTGAGAATATGAGTGTGTTGAGAATTCTAGGCTTACATGCCACTGGTGAATACATTGCTACTCTGTTTACCTTGTAAGTGGCATGACAAACAGAATTACACCACTTGATGATTATGTGATGAAGGGTTATAAACCAATTTTGGACTAAAAAAAAAGGTGCAATAATTATGTAGTGGAATATGGTAATTCAATCTCATGATCAGTAATGCCCTCCAAGAAAGACACTGAACTTTCAAATGAAGACTAGAAAAAAGGAGGAACTCTGTATCTTTCTGAATCATTGGTTATTAATAATAATTTCTCTCATCAAGGAACCTCCTGGATTGAAAAAAGGCCACAAATGTTTTCATGTTGGCAAGCATAAGCATTGCAAGTAATTCTAATTTCTCTTTTTGCTGATATGGAGGTGAAAAAACTAAGAGTATCTTGGAGAGAGGGGTATTGGAGGAGAGATCTTACATTTTTTTCTCCCATCTATGAAGGTTTCCCTTTCCTAATGAAGACAGAGAGATGGGGTAGCAAGAAAATGGAACACTACTTGCTAACAAGGAAAGCCAGTGGCAGCCAGAGAACCTTTGTTAGGGAACTCATAACAAGCAGCTGGGAAGAAGCTACAAAGGCTTTTAATAAAGCTTACCTTAAACTAGCTTGAATTTCTGGAGACTAGGAATAAGCCTTGGAGCAATGTAGCTTGAAGTGAGGAAAGAAGACTTTTGCTCAAGTTCTGTGAAAGAAAATCCAGGTTGGATAAAAGATGATAATTATTTAACCACCATTTCTACAATAAAATGATTACCTATTCATTAAGGTAGAGATGGCATGAAAAAAAATTTTTTTTTTTTTGGGAATGTCACCTCCTTGAATAGCACAGTGCATAACCACAGATACTGAACATGCTTGTTAAATGAACAAATGAAAAACTTTTTCTCATGTCTTCTTTCCTTTATTTCCTTTTTCCTCTGTACTACATATCACTGCATTTCCAGTAGCCATTCATCCTCTTCCAGTTAAGTTCCCTTGCTCCCCTCATAGGATCTTAGGATTTGGCCAACCCCTTTATTTTACAGATGAAGAAACTGAGGCCCAGTGAGATGAAGTGACTTTGTCTAAAGTTACATACATAGCAAGTAACAAAACTGTTTTTTCTCTTCAGGAACAAAAGGAAACTTCTTGAAGACAGGCTAGGAGGAATACTTTTAAAGTAATCGATTGATTTCTGCATTCTTTTCATCTCTTTCAGAGGATAAATTTCCAGTGGGCCTTGAATGTTACTCTGCCTATCAGCAGGGATACTACAGGACTTATGAACAGGTCAGGAGTTAGCCTTTTCCTGTCCATGACTGGGACTCAATCACCACCAAATAATTAAAATGTATAGATGGGTATATGCTTCCTATTTGCATTCAGAATCTCTGTAGCTCAGTTACTGATGACGAGAAGATTTAATTCCCCAAGGAATGCTAAGGTGGTGGCCAGAGGTGGTTTTCACCTATGGTTTCTTTTCATTTTAATTTTATTCTTCTCCCTATCCCTTAATTCAAAAATTTTTTTATTGATGCCTTTTTTTTACATCATATTCATTTTTGTGTAAATCTCTCTCCCTTCCTTTACACAATGAAGCATCACTTCTAATAAAGATTAAAACAGAGAGAAATAAGCATTTCAGCAAAACTAACCAACACATTGACTGTATTTGCCAGGTATGGCAAAATATGTGCGATATTCCACACTCAAAGTCCCCTACCTTCGCAGAGAATGAAGAAAGACATATTTTCTCAACTCTTCCTAGTGGTCAAGCATGGCTAGCATAATTACCAAGTTCAGTTTCATTTTTTGTTAAATCACATTTTCCTGGTTCTCTTATTTCACCATGCATTACTTCATAGAAATCTTCCTATTTCTTACAGGACAGCAAGAATTCATTCCATTGGTGTACCTTTCTAACTTTATTATACAGTATTCCCCTTCCTCTGCTTTATAGTTCTGCCCAGCTTGCAGTCCTGCTGTTCCACCTCCCATCTCTGAGCCTGTGGACTGGCTGTTCCCCTGTACTTGGAATGTACTTCTCTCTCACTGCCACCTCTTAGAATGCATAAAATGTTCATAGGATCTTGATATTTGGATCTCAAAGTCAGTCTGGCCCACCTCTCTTCATTTTTCCTCTTGCTGGAAACTGAGGTCCAGGGCAGTTAAAGGACTTGCTTAAGAGCATATAGCTAGTAAGCATTGGAGGAAAGATTTGCATCCTCTGACACTAATGCTCTTTCTGCTCAAAATTCTGCTCAAATTGTACCTTCTATAGGAAACCTTTACTGATCTCCTGGGATACTTAGTACCTAGCCCATCCCATTCCAATTTAGCTTGCATTTATTTTGTATATACTTATTTTTATGCCTATTTTCTCCTCTGATAACATGTAAGCCCCCTTAGCACAGGGAGAGTTTCATTTTTCTCATTGTCTCTCCATAACTTGGCATAGTGCCTGGCACATAGTTGGCGCTTAATAAATGCTTGTAAATTGATTGGTACCATGATTTGTTTTCAGTTACCTCATAACTGTGAGACATCCACTTTGTTTCTGGATTTTTTTTTGTTGCCACAAAAGTGCTGCTATGGATACTTTGGTTTATATGGGACCTTTCTGTCTTTGACTTCTTTGGTTTCCCCATCTTTTTATAGTTTTCTCAGTAGCCACTGAGGAAGAGGAATAATCAGCATTAGGGCTCTTGTGCCTGAGGAGATAGCCCTATATTAAGAGAGAATGACCTTTCCTAAAATAGACATATACCTTTAGGAAAGGGTATATGGGGTTTCAGGGCCCAGAATCCCTTTAGTAACTCCATCTTATGATCTTGTAGAATCCCCAGTCCTGCTTGCATCACTGTGCATATCTAGCTAGAAAGCAAGGCTGTCTGGTATGGGTTGTTTTTATTGATTTCTCTTCTGTAACAGTGATAGTCACTGGTCTGACACATACAGGTTATAAGACAGTAGTCAACAATAGCTATTTACCTGGATATTGCAGTACTTTTGATTCCTCTTGCCATAAACCTTGGGTCTTTGGCTGTCAGCAGAGTACTTCCTTTTAGGAATCCATATGGATCTTTGTTTCCACAGTCCTGAAAGTGTAACAGCAGGGTGGAAGTGAGACAAGGCTATAAACTCATATTCCTCATAGCCTAGATACATTCAGTGGGGGTATTAATCTTATGTGTTCTGTGTGGTGAATCAAAGCTGAGTAGTCATGCATTAATGACAAGATGGTATCAAATATACCATATTTTTCTTTATCTCCCTCTGAAGCATATCAATTTTCAGGGGTCTAGTAGGAAAGGAATAGAGTCAGTTGAATGCAATAAATTTTTGAAGTTAAGTTGACTGGACCTCATAGCCATCTCATGGACATTTATTAGAATTCTGCTCACCACTATTAATCCAACATCTAACTGACTCAGAGGAGGACAGCCAAATCTATTCAAATGGGCAAATAGATACTGTTAGAAAGAAAAGAGATTGTAAAGGAGAGACTATTTTTGGACTCTTTTTGTTCTGGGAGAATTGATGCTCATATACTCCACAGGCAGCCTCTAGGCTCCTTGGCAGCTCCTGTGCTAACAAAAGAGTGGCTCCTGTTTTTTATCTATTTTCAAAAGAGGCACTAGGGGATCAATTGAACAAAGATGTGAAAGTGCCCCAGGGGGGCATATCTCAAAGATGTTAATGAGCCTCTTTGGTTGGCAACTTCAGGGAAAAAAAAACCTCTAAAGAGGGGGCTGACATAAGAGGTCCAGAGAAACTGGTGACAAAGGTGCCAGGAAAGCATTAGTCATTGACTGGCCTGGTGTTTAATGAGAAGGAGAGTTTTTCTTCTACTGCCCCTGGACATTCTTAGCATTTCTTAAAAAAATGTTTCTTTTTATTCTTTCAATGATCACTTCCCCCCCCCCCCTTCTCCTACCCTAGTCTCTCCCCTCTCATTGGGAAAAAAAAAAGAAAAACAAGACCCTGTAACAAATAGGAAAAGCAAGCAAAACAAATTCCTGCATTGACCACATACATGAATGTATATCTCATCCTGCATCTAGAGTTCATCACCTTTTTATTAGGAGGTTGGTAGCATGTTTCCTCATTGGTCCTCTGGAACTGTGGTTGGTCATTGATCAGAGTTCTTAAGACTTTTGAAATTGTTTATCTTTACAATGTTGTGATTATTCAAATTGTTCTCTTGGTTCTGCTTATTTCACTCTGTATCAGCTCATACAAGTCTTCTCAGGTTTCTCTGAAAACATTCCCTTTTGTCATTTCTTTGCACAATAGTATTCTATTACATTCATATACCATAATTTGTTCAGCCATACCCCAACTGATGGATGCTCTTTTAGTTTTGATTTCTTTGCCATTATAAAAAACATATGCCTTAGGTCTAGAATACAGATAATGAGGAGTCCAGGAGGTGGATGAGGTAGGGCTGTAGCATAGATAATCTAATGGGTAAGACATCCTTTATGACCCAGTGCAAAACCACTTCAAAATAATAATTACTTCTGGTGCTATTTGTTACTGCACCACAAAGGGAGATAAGGGTCTTGCCGGGGCCCACTCATGAGTAATTGCTAGGCACAGCGTCCTTGGGCTGGGGAGAAATTGTCAGACACAGTGTTTCTGAGACTAGGGAGAAATTGGGGTCCAAGTACAAGCACCCGAACATAAGCACCCAAGCACCCCATCATTCTTGACATAATTGATGAATTAGCAAAGGCTACTAAGAAGAATAGGTAGAAGGAAAAAGCAGTGTCCTCAAAACCCATAGAGGAGACAGTATCCAGGAAAAGTGTGGTTAACAGGATCATAAGATGATCAATTTGGAGGTGGAAAGGATATTATTGGCCACCCAGTCCCACCTCCTCATTTTATAGATGAGGAAACTGAAGCTTAGGGCAGTTAAGTGGCTTGTATGCGGTCATACAGAGAGTTAATGGCAGAGGTAGGTCCTTTGACTATATATAAAACACTTTTTCCACTCTGCTTTATGGAACAAAGAGGTCAAAGAGGATTGCTGTTGTTGTTATTTGTTCTTCATTCTCAAAGAAGATCATGACATCAAGGAGATGATGCCACAACATACAAGCGAATTGGATTTAAGTGAGGCAGGGCTGTACAAACTCACCAGCCTCACTTTCTCTTCTGGAGCCATCTGGGTCTAGTGGTAAGATATAGATCAGGATGACTGAAGATGGCCCTGGATACAGTGGGAGACCTTGGCCCTTTCAAGGCAAGGTCTTTCCCAGGTCTCAGTTTGACTGAGGCAAGGACTAGTCAGTGATTAAGGCTTAGTAAGAAATGAGGCAGAGCATGGGCCTCTTTACCTAGTCAAAAAAAAAATGATTTGGGAGGGGAAGACCCCTCAGGGTTTTTGGCCAAAACAGAAACAATTGCTATTTATGTTAATTCTGAGCCAGTCAGTGCCCAAACAATGACCAAGTAGGGTTTGGTCTGGGCCTTGTCATTGGGCAGTCAATGAGAGCCTAAATGATTTTGGGGTTAAGGCTGGTCTTAAAGAAAAAAAAATTTCAGAGATTAAAATTACATTCCCTTTGGGCAGAGGATTAGATTTCAGGGGAGGCCATTAGATCTGGTGACTGGGTAATCCTTTGTAGAGAACAGTTTCAGTTGGGTGTTGAGGTCAGAAGTCAAAATACATGGGATAAAGAAGAGAGTGAGGATGGGAAATGGAACCACCAAGTACAGATGGATTTTTTCAAGGAGTTTGAAAAAAAGGGGAGATATAAGATGGTAGAGTCGAGTGAAGGTTTTTTAAACAAGGATTTAGAAGAATGGGTATGTCTTTAGTCAGCAGGAAAGGAATAATTAGATAGGGAGATATGGAAGAGCAGAGAAAGAGAGGGGATCATTATAGGGGTAATCTGTTGGAAAAGACAGGAGAGGATGGAATCAAGGACACATATATAGAGGGATGGATTTGGTGAGGAGAAGGCCACCTCTTCATCAGAGACTGAATAAAGGAAGAAATGGTGGGGTAAGGTGTTAAGCTATTATGAAATGGAGAGGAGATGTTTTCAGATGAGGTGGAGAGGAAAAGATGAATTTTGAGTGGATGGCCTTGACATTTTGGGTTAGATATGAGGGCCTCAACTGAGAGTTTAGGACAAGGGGTAGGATGGTTGGAGGCTTGAGGAGAGAAGAGAAGGGTTACTCTTGTGGAGAGTAAGACAGAGAATCAACAAGAGGAGAATACAAGAATTGCTTGTTTCGGTGAAAGCACATTTAAGATTACATAACATTATTTTGTAGTGAATTTAGTGAGAATGGTTGTGAGACTTTCTCTAGTTTCAGTCAGCAGCAGATGAAGAGGAACAGGTGAGACAGATGGTGGAATTATTCCAGGATTGAGTTTTGCTGAAGTGTGAGTGGTGATAAAATAAGTGAGTAAGGGATATAAGAATAGAGAGTTGAACTGGTTCAGTATGGGGTTGAGATTGGGAAGAGAGGAGACCAGCTAAAGCATTGATGAAAGTCATAATGAGGATGAAGAATGAATTGGGGAGGATTGTGATCAGATAAGGAAGTTTGGATTTTTTTTTTGGGTGAGGTAATTGGGGTTAAGTGACTTGCCCAAGGTCACACAGCTAGTAAGTGTCAAGTATCTGAGGTCAGATTTGAACTCAGGTCCTCCTGACTCCAAGGCCAGAGTCTATCCACTGTGCCACCTAGCTGTCCCAACCTCTTGCTTTCTTAAAAAAGGACACAGCTCTGCCATCCCCTGGAGCATCATCTTGATCTCTTTTCTGCAGTCTAACTCCCACAAAAAATCAGTTTACAATATTCCCATCACTTTCTCTTCTTCCTCTTGCTTCTTGACCCCTTGATATTTGGTTTCCCACCACACCATTCAATTGAAATGAGTCTCTCCAAGGTCAATTACTATCTCTTAATAGTTAAATTCAATGAACTTTTCTAATTCTTTATTCCTTTTGGTTTCTCTCGAGCATTTTACACTGTTGAGTAATCCTTCTTCTAGACACTCTCTCTTCCCTGGGTTTTCATGATACCATACTATTCTGGTTTTCCCTGTCTTGACTATTCCTTCTCAAGCTCCTTTGCTGTTATCATTATCTATTTTCTGTCCCTTCTCCCCCACCTGCCCTCATTGCTTGTCCCATGGTTCTGACCTGGACTGTCTTCATTCCATTCTACAGTTTCCCTTGGTTATCTCTTTAGCTCCCATGAGCGCAATTGCTGGGTTTTTGCAGATGATTCCCAAATTTTATATATATAATATGTATTATATAATATATTTGTGTATATTGTGTGTAGAAAATATGTGTATACATACACAACTGTATATACAACTGCATTTTGTATATACACAAATACATATAGTTGTATACATATATAAACAGTTGTATATATATATATATATATACATATATATAGTTCTATACTCATGTGCATGCATATGCACACATATTTTTGATATGTATATGCTACTGTTATCTCTCTCCTTAGCTCTAGCTCTATAATAGTGGTGACAAATCTAAATAGAAATAGGGGCCACTAATCATACATGAGGATCCCTGGGGCCATATGTTGACTAAGAAAGCCGCATAATAACATCATAATAACAATCAATCACTTCAGCAATCTTGCAAGCAAAACTTTCATAAAAATTAGCATTTTTTCCCTAGAAATTTAGTAGAGGTAAGAAATGAACAGAAGGGAAGGATTTTTTCTTTTTTAGAAGAAAGGATAATTGAGCATGTGTGAAGGAAGAAGGGAAAGAGCCAGTCAAGTTCCAGTATCCCTGGACTGAGAGAATCAGAAAAGAGTGAAAAATAAGGAAAAAAAGTAATGAAATTATAGGCTTTCAGAATTGGAAAGGAAGTCATGAGTCATGAGCTTAAGTAATATATTTAATACAATGTAATACAATAAACATTTGTTAAGGGCATACTGTGTGTCAGGCATGGTGCTAACTGCTGGGGATATAAATGAAAGAAAAACAACTCCTGTCTTCAGCAAGCTTACAATCTAACTGGGGAAGACAACAGACAAAAGGAAGCAGTAAAGGGGGAATGTTGTTGAGGGAAGAGGCTTCTGAGTTTCATTTAAATGGAGGGTAGGGGAGGAATGTTTCACTTCACCCTCCTGCCCTCCAGTCAGAAGGGCAGAGGCGACTGCTCTCAGCATCACTGATGATTTGTGAGTACCCAACCTGATGCAGTTAGGACTTAGTAATCCAACCTCTTCATGAAGCACAAATTTTTCTCTGGGTAATGGATAAATCTATCCTCCTGAGGTAGCCCATTCTGGTTCTGTACAGCTTTAGTTCTTAGAAAGTTCTTCCTATTTTTAAACTAAACTCTGCTGAATCCTCCTGTTCTGGTCCAAGAGCTATTGTCTGGGGCCAAGCAGAGCAAGAGGAATTCCTCTTCCATATGATAACCCTTTACACATTTGAAGGCAATGATCATATCTTTCATTGTCTTTTTTTCTATGAGTTATAGATCCCCAGACATTTAAAGTTATCTGCAAATAAGCAGACCTCTAGCCCCCTCCTCACCCTGGTTACCCTCTTCTGGACACATTCTAGTTTGTCCATCAATACCCTACCAGTCAGTCTAAGGCAGTACTTTTTAGTATGTCAGCTGCTTCACGTGCTAATTCCCTCCTCAGCTTTTCCATGCAGGCTTGAATTCTTCATCTTATGAATGGCCCACAATCTTTCGGACCAAGTCCTTGAAGGCTTGTTTCACCTGCCTGTTTCTCAAGGTATAAATGATGGGATTCAGTAGAGGGCTTATTGAGCTATTGAGCACAGCTACTCCCTTGTTGAAGGTGGCATCGTCCTTTGTTGAGGGCTTGATCTCCATGAAGATGCAGCTTCCATAAGAGAGGGAGATGACAATCATGTGGGAGGAACAGGTGGAAGAGGCTTTCTTCCTTTGTGGAACAGAAGGAAATCTGAGAATTGTTCTAATGATGTTTGTGTAAGAGAGCATCACGAGCACCAAGGTTATTACAAGTGTCAGCACAGCTAAGAGTGAATCAACCAATTCTGTTAGACTGGTATCTGAGCAAGATAGCTTCAGAAGGGGAGTTGTATCACAGCAATAATGGTTTATGACATTGGAAGAGCAGAAGTTTAGGCGATGTGCCATTAAGATTACCAAGAGAGAAGTCAGGAACCCAGCCAACCAAGAGCAAAGAACAAGCAGGACACAGACTCTGCTGCTCATGATGATTGTGTAATGTAGGGGCTTGCAGATGGCAACATAGCGATCGTAGGACATGGCAGTCAGGAGGTAAAACTCGGTGGCCCCCAAAAATGTCGCCAAAAAGTACTGAGTGAAGCAGCCAGCAAAACTGATGGTTTTGTTTACTGTTCAGATACTGTATAAAAGTCTGGGAATAAAAACAGATGTGAAGAGAATTTCTAAGATGGAGAAATTCCGAAGGAAGAAATACATGGGGGTTTGGAGGTGAGAGTCCAACAGAGTGAGGGTGATTATGGTTAGGTTACCAATGACACTGAACATGTAAGTGAGAAGGAGAAAGAGGAAAAGCACAACCTGGAATTCAGGAGCATCTGTCAGACCCAGCAGGATGAAGTCAGTTAATGTGGTGAGGTTTTTCATTGTGACCTTGACTGGATCTGAAAATGAAAAGAAAAGCAGTCAAGTGTAAAGATGAGAGAGGTAGGGGTCAGGCTGCAAAATCCAAAGGAATCAGTTTATGAATATTTCTTCCATCTATCATGTTGGTTCTGTGTAGGACAACTTGTCCCTAGAGTCCTTATCAGGGATTTGATACTTTGCCCCTCATAGAGAAATAATATTCCATTACATTCATTTATCATATTTTGTTCAGTCAATCTCCAATTGTCCATGAGGTAGTCTAAGGTGACCTTTGGATTCTAATTCTTTGCTTCACAATCAGGAAGTTTGTGTTTGTGTAGCTTTTCTCTTCTCAGGATTATTCTTCCTGTCAATGACTGACTTGTTTTCTTGTTGAGGTTGGTGTATTTCCACACCCAACTCTTGGTATGTATGTTTATGTGCCTGTGTTCAACCGTCTGTTCCAATCAAAATTAAAGTAACTTGGGGCAAAGTTCTGAGAACATTCAGTTTATCAGCAAGGCTAGCAATTACCAATAAAAGAGGTCTTTAGCTCCTTAGCAATAAAAAAGACCTTAAGTGAAGGCAGATAATTTTTACAGGCAAAAGGAGGAGAATCCAAAAGCTAAAAGGCAGTATCACAGATGGAAAGACAATATGATTGATTACAAAGCCTGTAGCATCATAGATGGGAAAACAATATGATTGGCTGGATGTTTGGAATGCAAGGCTAGCAACTAACCTCTCCTTTCATCTTGACTCTATGAAAAACTCATTGGTGGTGTCCACCTGCATGGCTAGTTACTTTCAAAGTGATAACACATTAGACATTCTTGAAGGACAGCCAGTGTCGCAGAGATAACAGACCAGACTCCCTGACATCTACCTGCATCCTTCAAGGATAACAGATTTCCTTAACATAAGAATAGAACAGTGATTATTAGGAAAACTGAACTTCTAAGCTTAATTAATTCATAAAGGAAAGCTAAATTTCTGAACTTAACTCAGAGACAAAGAAATATGATCTAGGCAGTATACAAAAATGTCAGCAGGGACATAGAATAGAATAAATTTAATTTTCTTACCTCCTTTGTCCATTTCAGATGAGTGAGGTGAATCTAATCTCTTTTTCTCCATTCTTTCCCCCATGTTTGCATATTCTTCTTTTCATGCTCCCCATTAATGAGAAATAACAAATTCTGCTCCTTGTTCCTCCTTTATATGCTAGTGTTTTCCTTTTATCTATCCTTCTCTTTCTTTCTTTTTTTAACTCTTAGAACAGAACCAATCAACTCCCATGACCTCTGTTTTTCTTATCTAACTCTCAATATCTTTTGGATATTTGATATACTTTGGAGACATTTAGCTTCTAAGGGGCACTTGCATCTTTTCTATGAAATTTACCTTTCTAGACTTGTACTTTAAAGTTCCATTTCAGTTCTGTTATTTTTATCAGAAATATTTGAAAGTCCTTTATTCTATCAAAGGTCTATTTTCCCACCTTGTAGAGTTATGCTTAGCTTGGGTAACTTAGGTATGGTAAGTTATACTTGGCTGTAAGCGTATATGTTTTGCCTTTTGAAATATAACATTCGAAGGACCCCTCTCACATTTTCAACTATAGCTGCCAGTGTTTTTTGATCCTGATTGTGGTCTGTTGCTACTTGAACTGATTGTAGTCAGTCAGTCTGTCTGTCTATCTATTTATCTATCTATCAATCATCTATCTAGGTCTATATAGTTAGATAGGTAGATCTATCTACATAGGTAGATCTAGCTATATAGACCTAGATAGATAGATATTGGTATTGATATTGAATCTCTGGATTTTGGTTATGACATGCCAAGAACTTTTCCTTTTGCATTTTCAGGAAGTGATTGGGGTATTCTGTCCATCTTCACTTTGATTTCTGGTTCTAATAGCTATTTGTTGTTGTTCAGTCATTTTTCAGTCCTTTTTAACTCTTTGTGATCCCATTTGGGGTTTTCTTGGCAAAGATGCTGGTTCACATTTCCTTTTCCAGATCATTTTGTAGGAAAGGAACTGAGGCAAATGGGTTAAGTGACTTGCCCAGGGTCACACAGATAGTAAGTGTCTGAGGCAAGATTTGAACTCAGGAAGATGAGTCTTCCTGACTACCACTCTATCCACTGCACCACCAGAGGTGATATATAACCATAAAGCACCCAAAAGGATACATGTGATTGCTTCCATTTCCACAGCTCTCTCATAGAGAGTTTGCAGTGAGCTGTGCATGTTACTATCTCTATGTGTAAGGATTCTGAGGGATGGGCATCCCACCACTAAAGGATTCTGTACTTAGGAACTTTCCTTGTGGATATTTGAAGTTTAATTATAACTGAATGAAACCATATGTAGCTGTTTCTTGGCCTCCAAGTTTTATTTAGGGTTTCCAGAGAACTTCAGATTTGGAAGGGGCCTCAGAATAATTTAGTCTAACCTTTGCCTAGCCAAGAGTCTCTTCAAAAAAAACTTCTCTCAAATAATCTCCATTTGAAAATTTCTAATGAGGTGGAATCCAATGCTTTTTAAGGTTGTTGTTGCTGTTTAGTTGTGTTTGCCTCTTCATGACCCCATTTGGGATTTTCTTGGCAAAGAAACTGGAGTGGTTTGCCATTTCCTTCTCCAGTTCACTTAATAGACCAAGAAACTGAGGCAAACAGTTAAGTGACTTGCCCAGGGTGACACAGCTAGTAAGTATATGAGGCCAGATTTGAACTCAGGAACATGAGTCTTCCTGACTCCAGGCCCAGTGCCCTATCCACTGTGCTACCCAGCTGCCCTTGCCTTCCAAGGTAGTCCATTACTTTTTTGCATAGCTATAATGTTTCAGAAATTTTCCTTAGATTTTTAATTGGCCAAACTTTTAATTCTGTCGGTGTAGGGAAGACTTGGTGAGGAACTTCTACCATTGCAAATCAGCACATTCTCTGCAACTTATACCCTTGGAGAAACTGTATGGAGTAATGGCCAGAGAGTTGGTTTCTGAGTCATCAAGCTCTTTATTCTAATCTGCCCTTTGACATATATTGACTATATGACTAGAGGCAAGTCATTTAATGTTTCAGTGACCCAAGGAACTCTTTTCCTCATATTAAATACAAATTAGCTTCTTTGTGATGTTCACTTGGTTTACCCTCTGATATGATCATCCTACTGAATATGATGAGACCTTTCAAAGTGACCCAAAGGAGATTTCTAGTGGTAGGCTTTATTCTTAGTTTCAGTTACTTTCATGATCTTGGGGGAGGAGTGTTTTAGCCTCTGAATCCTCTTACTTCACTTACTTCAGCTCCCTCAACACCATTCACATTTGTTCTCACAGTTCCCAATATCATCTGAATTTTTATCCCTCAGACACAAACATAGCCCCTTTCAGAGTGTGAGAAGATGCCTATCGCATGGAGCCAGGAGCATTTTGGCATCACCCTCCCATCCTGTTCCTGAAGTATCCCTAAAGCAAAGGACATGTCAGCCACTTCTTATTACTCTACCACTCTGGTGAGAAGACAATAACATTTGGAGTGTCCCTGCTGCTCCTCTGTACATAAATACTGACAATATTGGTCAGAAACTCTAGGGCTCTAAAGGAGTAATGAATGTCTCTAGTTTGCTACAAACTTCAGGCTCATGAGTCCCAAAGGACAAATTCCCAATATAGCCTTTCTATCTAGGAATTGCATTCACACCCATTTTCTGTTCAACAACCATAGGAAGGAAATATGTTTTCTCTGAATCCCTCAAAATTCTTGTCACCACCTCTCTAAGAAGAATACATATTTACAGAAGTTTAGTAGAAAGATGATAAACACCTCATTTTGTGTTGTGCCAGTCTTGTGGACATTTGCACCATCTCTCTGTCTGGTACTGATACAAAATCAAACTGAGAGCCAACATTATTCAAATGAGCAAACAGGCATAATTAGAAGGAAAGAAAGAGGACTTTACAGATTAGAATATATCTGACCTTGGTGTGTTCCAGAAGAAATGATGCTGGTGACCTCTGCAAGCATTCTGTGGACCCTTCCTTGGCAGGTTCTACCTACGTTAACCAGAGAGATTCAGGTTTTATCAGCTCTGTTCAGGGTGGGCACTGGGATCAATTGAGTGAACAAAGAAAAGGTGGTCTGGGGAATTATTTTTTATTTTATTTATTTTGGTTAGGCAGTGGGGTTAAGTGACTTGCCCAGGGTCACACAGCTGGTAAGTGTTATGTGTCTGAGGCCAGATTTGAACTCAGGTCCTCCTGAACCTATGGCCAGTGCTCTATCCACTGTGCCACCTAGCTGCCCAGGTGAATTATTTTGAAGGTAGTAATGAACATCTTTCATGGACAAGTTTGAAAACAAAGCTGTCAGCAGGTGGCTAAGAGAGGATGGTCTAGAGAAATAGGGAAAGAAGATGTCAGAAATGCATCAGTTGAGCTTCTAGAATCTGGTAACAGAAGCAAGAAAGTTAAGACTTTAGGAGCCTGCTTCCTCCTGGGCTGCTAGGTATCCTCAACACTGTTAAAATATTTGCCATCTAAATCAAGAACCAATTTGTTCCTGGAAAAAGGCTATCTTTGGGGAATGTTTCCTTCTCTCCTAGTCGATGGGCAGGATGCTGGAATATACTGATTTAGTATTATAGGACTTAGAGCCAGAATGGGAAATTATGGCTTTTCCACACCAACCCCTGAATCTTCCAGATGAGGAAAGTGAGGTCAGGATGCTAAGTGGCTCATTCATATATGTGTGTGTGTGTGTATACATACACACACATGGAGATTCTCTCTCTCTCTCTCTCTCTCTCTCTCTCTCTCTCTCTCTCTCTCTCTCTCTCATCTATTGAACACAAGTCCTCTGAGCCCACATCTAGTACAGTATCCATGTGTTCTCAGGCTGGAGCAGTGTATTTCCCCTCCCTGACAAGGAATTGCCCTCTTGAAAACTTTTCTCTAAGGGAAAACTATGGAAATTTTCTACTTTCACCCAGTTATTCTCTAGCCCCAGTTCTTCTCTGCCCCTGCCTCTCAAGTCTCCTCATGTGTCTAAGCTCTCAGACCCCAATTCAGTCACATAGCCATGGCATACTTGATATGATATCTAGTATACATAATGATCTTCCAGGAATTCACAGCCACATAGATTTTCTCTTCTATTGCCACAAAAAGTGAGTTTGAGGTAGTGGTGGGAAGGATTTGGAGACATACTTACACTCCTGACAATCCAAACAGGTTCATTGAGTTTGCTAATCCTCAGTATCTTGAAGGGTGGGTCAGAGCTGAGAGTTTATGCAGTGGTGAACATATTTTCTCTAAGATCTTTAAAAGGTCTTGTCATCTTCTCTCCTGGAAATACATACATTTGTGGGGGTTTACTAGAAGAGCAATAGCTACAATCTACAATCTCTGTACCCAGAGTTGGTACAAAATGAACTGAGATCCAGTGGTACTGGTGAATAGGTACAGTTAGAAAAAAAGAAAGGGAACTTCGAAGGTTAGAATATTTCTGGAATGTGAATTCCAGGAGAAATGATAGTGATAATCTTTGCAAGCAGCCCATAGGCTCCTTGATAGGTTCTACACTAACTAGAATGTTTCAAGTTTTATCAGTTCTGTTCAGGACAGTCACTGGGGTATTAATTGAATGAACAAACAGAAGGTGCCTTGTGAAGATACTAATGAACTTCCTTCTTTGGCAATTTTGAAAACAAAGTATAAACAGGTGGCTATGACAAGAAGATGCTGAGAGGCAGGGAGGAAGGGGTCAGGAAAGTATCTGCCATAAGCTTGGAGTCTGGTGAGAGCAGCAAGAAGGACAGGGTTCTGGATTCTGCTTTGGAACATATCCCCATTAATGCTCATTGACTTGTCATTTCTTTTAGGAGTGAAAAAGATATTCAACAAGGTCATTTTGTGTGTGTGTGTATGTGTGTGTGGTGTTTTCTACTATCCTATATGAGTATCACACTATTTAGAGGCATAATGGGACATTACAACCTATTCAGCCCATACACCCAGTTTCTGAGAGGAGTAAACTGAAGCCAAGGTGTTAAGTAACTTAACCCAAGCATACACAGGGAACCAATAAATGGGCCTGGGCTTGAACCCAGATCCTCTGAGTCCACATCCAGTACTGCATCTAGTACACTATGGTGTCCTCAGTTTGGAGCAGTGCATTTACTCTTCTTGAAAGGGAACATCTGTCCTGAAGATTTCTCTCTGAGGGAAAGATGGAGAATTTCCAGTCAAGATTCACTTTCTACTTTCACCCAGTCATTCTTCATTCTTTTTTCCCTTTGACACTTCCTCTTACTTCCTAATTTACTTACACTTCAATGACATTCCTGATGTGATCTCTAATATATATGGTTCTGATTCAACTTCATACTGAAGGAATATTCAAGTTCAATCAGGTTCATGGGGTTATGTGGGGACAAGTGTCTCATGGGCTAGAATGGAAAGGGGCTTCCTATATCATAACGATTCTCTGAAAATTTCCATTCCTGTACTTCTTCATGGCATGAAGGTAATTCTGGCTTCAAGAAGTCTCTGCCAGTGGAACCTAAACTCTGACAGATTACACCACAGCAAAAAGTCTTTGAATATGGTCCAGAAAACTGACTGGGTTTGTTTTCTGAGGACTGTCTTAGTTAATTTACTAGGCTCATAATCAAATGACATTTATTTCATTTTAACTCATATTTTGAAATTTAGTTGGGTGCGATCAACATTTCATTTTCCTTTATATTCCCTCTCCCTGTCCCTTCCCCCCCAAAGTCTCCAACCTGAAAGTGTCAAAGGGAAGTGTGTGGCTTGTGTCAGTGACTGTATGTTAGCAGAGTGGCCAAAAAGTTCTGTAAAATTGTCTTGAACATTTAGAACAAAAACAATTTCTCAATTTTGGGGCAACACTCTAAAAGATGGAGAGGAGAATACAGAGAAACACAACATAACACAATATGACAATATAAATCCATCATGAACAGTGAGCTTTCAGTGTGCCATCTTTTCTTTAAAACATTCAGTACTTTTCTGTGTTTTCTGCTACTTCTGCCTGTTGGCTTTCTAGCCTGTGAATTTTATTGGCTTTTGATTCTACCTCTACATTCAAATTTTCCCACCACCGTTTTTATCATTTTACACTATAACAATCAGTCAGGTTGTTTACAACTACTATATATTGCTTTATACTTCTCACATTGGTGTGAGACCACCTTCTCACTTCATCAGTTAGCTCAATGAGTTGGGTACTTTCTTACCCAAATATCATTAGGATGTAAGTAAGTTGGGATTTGAACTCTGGTATTTTAACTCCAAATAGCATGCTCTTTCCATTATTTCATGTTGTCCAGTAACCAGTGGAGAGCTCCAGTTCATGTTAAGTTCTAGGAATAGTGATCCTGTATTTTGCAGAAGAAACTAAAAAGATAAAATTTAGTTATCCTGATATAATAAAAAATCTGGTACATTTGTTGTTTACATTATATGTTCTAAAGACCAAGCTTTTTCCCCTTTGCTCTCAATTAATAGGCCAGCAATACTGCAAGCAAATACAGTGAACTTAAGAAAGATAGGAACCAAGATACTTAAATCCAATTGTTGTATAATGACATTGATCCAATATTCAGTGACGATCTCTAATTCAAGTCAGACTATTTCCAATAGCAGTAGGGGAAACCCAAAGTAATCTTCAGTAACTGAGATACGTTCTTAGAAATCTTAATGCAATCTTTGGTTACCCACAGTACCCAAGGAAACCAAACTGGAGTAAACTAGTTGATCTTTAGAACATATATTATAATCAATGGATGTACCTGATTTCTATTTCTGTCTGTTTAACTACAAGTTATATTAGATTTCTACTGCAAGGTTTTTAGGATCAAGATTGAAGCTTTTAACATGCAGTCTAAAGACCAATGAATTTGCTTCATTTTGTTTTGTAGTATTCTTAATAATGAAGTAGTTCTACTTATTTGTTATGGAATGAAGTCTAGTTACCAAGAACCAAGATGCCTAAATCCAAAGCAGCTAAATAAGAACGCTGATCCAATACCTGGATCCAATACTAGGGAGTTCCAGGTCGCGTTAGATTGCTGCCAGCAGCTAGAATCATGAAAACTGCAGGAGAAACTGTATAGTCTTTAGTAATTTAGATATGTAAGTAATAATGTTGCACATTCCTTGAGTAAAATACATGTTATAAAGAAAAAAATATTTTGCTCTTCTTTGTTTTGAATTATTCTCAATTATTATGATCACTATATTTCAAACTAATGCAATAAAATCTTACCTCAAGATACAGTTATACAAGAACATAAATCCATCATTGAGTGAAGAGTTCCAGTTTATATTAATTATTGACAACAATCAGACTCTTTAAAATCCTGCTAGTTAATTCCAGTATAGAATCCCACATGGAAGAAGAGGGACAGTTCTCTCAGTAGAGGTCTCTAAAGAGGCAAGGATTTGATATTATGACTACTGCCCTCCATAATGTTCCTGAGGTTAGTGGTTGGGAAATACTTGTACAAGATGATTCTCAAGACTGACCTTTTCACTGGGTCATCATGCCTGTAAGAGGATAAATGTTCCCTTAGTTTCCTTACTACAGATGACTTTGAACCATCATGAAAATTGATGACTATGTTAAAAGTGTCATCTTTTGAATTGTGGCCCTAATATTCCTGGTGTTGCTCCTGCTCACCATCAGTGATTTACATTATGAGAACCACTATGTTCTGTGAAGGTTTGGTACTATGTACCACCTGGACTAGATTTTAAAGATCCATCCTTTTAAAAAGGTGTTGTTAGCAGAGGGAGAGAGAGAGAGAGAGAGAGAGAGAGAGAGAGAGAGAGAGAGAGAGAGAGAGAGAGAGAGAGAGAGAGAGAGAGAGAAAGAGAGAAACAGAGAGAGAGAGAGAGAGAGAGAGAGAGAGAAAACAGAGAGAGAGAGAGAGAGAGAAACAGAGAGAGAGAAACAGAGAGAGAGAGAGAGAGAGAGAGAGAGAAAGAGAGAGAAAGAGAGAGAGAGGTATGAAAAAGAGAGAAAGAGAAAGAGAGAAACAGAGAGAGAGAGAGGAGGGGAAGCTAACAGCATATTATTTTTAAATCTATTAAAAAGTAGATAACAAAAGCCTGTAATTTCTGTTTTTTTCTCTTCCATATTCAACAAATCCTTCAAGGTGATTTTACATTGCTTGCTGTTTTTTTGTATTCTTTCTACTTTTGTTTTATATGCAGTAAGTTTTTATCAAATAGTTACTATACCAGGCTTCTGGCAACCCTGATGTCAGAGATGTCAGTAATGTCAGTGATGTCCTTATGATCATTTAAGTAATACTCTGGAAGATCTTTATCACTTACCCACAAAACAATGCTTTGTCATAGGAACAACATCTGCTCCACAATAGGAATATTGAACCATAGATTTATAGGTACAAGGGACCTTAGAGGCCACTGAGATGGAATTTGAACCCAGGTCTTGGTCATTCCAGCCCTGAGATTTGTCCTGTATTCTGGGGTGTCTCTTAGGCTAGATTAGTTTTTGTGTATAACATATTAAAACTGTCTTTGAGATTCAGTTGGTCCAGAGGTTTAAGGATTAAACCAGACACCAGAGCTCAGTAGAAACATTTAAATTCCAACCTGAGCTATCACACTACATTTATTCCTGTCCAGGTTGTTTGTGCTTCCTTCTGAACTTGTTTGTTGAACAGTTTTCAGGGAGTCCCATGATTCTTAAATTATCTTTGACCTTTTTTTCAGAATGTGAAGGTTCTGAGGGATCACTTATTTCACCTCCATTAAAATGCTGACCCTGAATCATGTCAGCCCCTTGCAGCTCTAATGCATTTCTCTTTCTACATTTCTTTTGATTTTTGTTTTTGCATTTCAAAGTTTCTATTCATCTCTTTTCTTTTCATTAAGAATATCTGAAAATCCACTAATCCATTAAATATTTTTTTTTCTCATGTAGGATCATACTCAGCTTTTCAGGGTGAATGATTCTTGATTGTAAACCTCTATCTTTTGCCTTTTGGAATGCTATATCCCAAAGATAGTCAATCATTTACAGCAGAAGCTGCAGTCTTATGTAATCCTGACTATGTTTCCTAGGTAGTTGAACTACTGATTACTTTTAGTATTTTCTTTTTTAATGTAGAAGATCTGGAATTGACTATGAAAATTCTGGGACTTTTTCCTTTTGAAGTTGTTTTCAAAAGGTGATTGGTTAATTGTTTCAATTTTCACTTTGCCCTCTGACTCTAATAGATCTTGGAAACTTTTATTTGTGATTTCTAGAAATGGAATGTTATGAAGAGACAGAGGGTGGGTGGGTGGGGTGTGAACAGCATGTTATCTGGGTAATCTTCACCTAGGGAACAAGAGCAAAAAGACCAAGAAGGGGTTGACTGACAGGTGGGAGAATCAGGAAATTACAGCATCATGGAAACTGAGTAAGAGACACATCAAGAAGGCAGAGATAGTCATCATCACTAGATGGTAGAGAAAGATTGAGAAGAAAGATGAGGAGTGAAAAAAGTAATTGAATCTGGCAATTAAGAATTCATTAGTTACCTCGGAGAGAGCATGCAGTTGATAGAGATAGATTGTAGGATGTTGAGCAGTTCATACAAAATTAGGAAATGGAAGAAGTAAATGTTGACTATTTGTTTGTAGGAATTTATTTTTAAGTAATTATTTAAAAATTTTATTGATGTATCCTGTTTTTCATATTACATAAATTTGCATATCACTCTCATTTTGCAAGAAGTCTCTTGTAACAAAATAAAACAGTTAAGAAGTGACCTTGTCCAAAAGTGCTTGTAACATTTCACATGTGCAACATTCTCCCTCACCCCTTTGTACAAAAAAAATCAACAGAATCTACTCTCTCTCCCTCCCATCCCTCATCCCATTAAAACTGAAATATATAATTCTTGTCAAAAGTATGCATAGTCAAGCAAAACAATTTCCACTAGAATACAAGGCATGTATGTATGTGTATATCTATATCTATATCCCATTCTATACTCTAAATCCATAATTTTTATTTTATTCATTTTCACAGTGTTTTTGTATACATTGTTCTCTTGGCTCTGTTCTTTTCATTCTCCATAAGTTTAGAAAAGTCCTCAAAATTGTTCATTTATATAATATTGATATCATAGCATAAATTATTCTTCTGGTTCTGCTAATTTCATTCTGCATATGAGTTCATATAAGTCTTTTAATTTCTTTTGGATTTTTTTTTTTTATTCCTTATAGTGCAATAGTACTTCCTCTAGCCATATGTCACAATTTATTCAGCTGTTCCTCAAGTGTTATACATCTTGTTTTCCCATTTTTTGTCACCACAAAAAGAATTGCTAGAAATAGTTTTTGCGCATGTAAGAACTTTTACTCTTTCTATAATTTCTTTTGGGTATAACAATGAATATCTTCAGCAAACTTGTAGGATATAAAGTGAATCCACAAAAATTATCAGTATTTTCTCTAGAAATTTAGTGAAGAGGAGAAGAGAAATGAAGAGAAGTTGATTAAGATATTAAGGATTAAGAGAAGGCTTTTTTTCTGTATTAGGATAAAGGAGAATTGGGAATGTTTGGAGGAAGATGGAAAGGAGCCAACTGAGTGTGAGCATCACTGGACTTAAAGAATCAGAAGAGAGTAAAAAATAAAAAAGCAACGAAATTATGGACTCTCAGAGTTGGAAGGCAAGTCAGAGGCCAACTACTTTAATCTCTACCTGAAGCAAAAATTCTTTCTATAATATCCCTGAATAATGGGCAGATCTTTCCTTCTGAGGCATCTCATTGCGGTTTTGGACAGACTTAGTTCTTAGGAAGTTCTTCCTGTTATTGAACTAAAATCTTTTTAAATCTGTTCCTGTCTTGGTCCAATAGTCCAACAGGTCTGCCAATAGCAGAGTAAGGCTAACTCCTCTTCCATATGCACACTTTTCCACATATTTGGAGGTTTTTCAGTGTCTTCCTTTCTATGGGTTATACTTCCTCAGTCATTTTAAGGTATCCTCAAATGACCAAACTTCTAGTCCCTTCCCCATACTGGTTGCCTCCTCTGGACACCATATAGCTTATTCATTAATATCCCTTCAATCAGTCTAAGGCATTGACAGCTATTTAATATTTAGGACATACTTTTCATCCTTCTGCAGGTTTGAATTCTTCATCTCATCAATGACCCACAATCTTTTGGACCAGGTCTTTGAAGGCTTGTATCACCTGCTTGTTTCTTAGGGTGTAAATGAAGGGATTCATCAGAGGGCTTACTGAAGTATTGAGCACAGCCACTCCCTTGTTGAAGGAAATATCATCTTTTGCTGAGGGCTTGATATACATGAAGATGCAGCTTCCATAAGAGAGGGAGATGACAATCATGTGAGAGGAACAGGTGGAAAAAGCTTTCTTCCTTTGTGAACAGAAGGAAATCTGAGAATTGTTCTAATGATGTTTATATAAGAGAGCATCACGAGCACCAAGGTTATTACAAGTGTTAGCACTGCCAAGATAGAGTCAACCAGCTCTATAAGGCCTGTGTCTGAGCAGGAGAGCTTAATAATGGGAGCAGTATCACAGTAATAATGGTTTATGACATTGTTCAAACAGAAGTTTTGGTGATTTGCCATGATAATTGCTGTTAGAGAAATTAAGAACCCAGCCAACCAAGAGCAAAGAACAAGAAGGACACAGACTCTGCTGCTCATGATGATTGTGTAATGTAGGGGCTTGCAGATGGCAATATAGCGGTCATAGGACATGGCAGCCAGAAGGTAAAACTCGGTGGCCCCCAGAAATATAGCAAAAAAGTATTGAGTGAAGCAGCTAACAAAGCTAATGGTTTTGTTTCCCGTTAAGATACTACGCAAGAGCCTGGGAGTAAAAACAGATGTGAAGAGAATTTCTAAGATGGAGAAATTCCGAAGGAAGAAATACATGGGGGTTTGGAGGTGGGAGTCCAGCAGGGTGAGCATGATGATGATCAGATTTCCAATGATGCTAAACATGTAAGTGAGAAAGAGAAAGAGGAAAAGCACAACCTGGAATTCAGGAGCATCTGTCAGACCCAGCAGGATGAACTCAGTCAATGTGGTGAGGTTTTTCATTGTGACCTTGGGTGGTCTGAAAGTGAAAAGAAGAGCAATCAGGGGTAAGAATGGGAGAGGTGAGAGTCAGGTTGTAAGTGGAATGGAATCAGTTCATAAATGTTCTTTCTATGATAAAGGTGTTGGCTTCTCACAAGCTCCATTTCCTTCTGGTCCTGTGTAGGATAACTGGTCTTGAAAGTCCTTGTTGGGGCTTTCACATTTTACTCCCAAATAGCAACAATATTCCATTAAGTTCGTACACCACAGTTTGTTGAGTCATTTGCTAGTTGTCTGAGAAGCTTGTCCTGTATTCTATTTGTTTTCTCCTTCTTTCCTCCTTCTTTAGCTCTTCCTTTAGGATCAGGTACTTTATTTTGGTTGCAGTTACTCCTTCCTCACTAGTATTCTTTCTCTTAACTTCTCCCTCTTCAACCCTATTTAATTTTTTGTCGAGGAAGTTGTATTTCTATAAGAAATTCTTATGTGTATGTGTTTATGTCCATCTCTCCTTTGTCCATTTCAGACAAGCATGGGGTTAATCTAATGCCTACTTCCCCACTCTTTCCTCCGTGTTTGCATACTTTTCTTAGGCATCCCAATAATGAAGAATAGTAAATCTCATACGCTTGTTTCTCCTTTTTATGCTATTATTTTCCCTTTATCCTTCTTTCTTTTTCCCCTCATAACACTCTCAGAATAGAACTAATCTATTCCATGAGTTCAGTTTTTGTTACTTAACTTCCTCAATAACCTTTGAAGACATTCAGCTTTTGAAAGGGCATCTTATTTCTTCTCTCTCTATTAGACTGTTAGCACTACATTATCATATAGCTCCTTCCCATTGTTCAAATAAATTTATTTCTAGGTTTCTTTGTTTTCCCTTTGGGTTTAATGTTTCCTATTCAACTCTGGTCTTTTCATCAGAAATATATGAAAGTACCCTATTCCATTAAAGATCAAGTTTTCTAATATTGGGGAAAATAAAAACAAAACAAAAACCCAACAAGAACCCAGCTTTGTAGGTTAAGTTATAATTGTTTGTAAGCCTGTATGTTTCACTTTTTGCGTAGAGTATTCCAAAGTCTCCTCTTGTTTTTATAATAATTACTGCCAGGTTTTTTTTTTTAAATCTTGACTATGGTCTTTTGGTACTTTAAGTGCTCCTTTCTAGATGCTTATAGTATCTTTTCTTTGACATGGAAGCTCTGGATTTTTCTCTAACATTCTTGGATGCCTCCTTTTGGACAAGTTTATTTCAGGAGGTGATTGGTGGAGTCTTCCTGTCTTTATTTTGACAATTTTTGGATTGAACTGGCAGTTTTGATTTTTTGAAATATTGTGTCCAAACTTCAATTTTTTTTTTCTGGATCAGGGTTTTTAGGGAGTCTAGTGATTTTAAAATGATCTCTCCTTGACCTGGTTTCCTAGGTTGGTGTTTTTTGACATTACATATTTTACATTTTCTTCTATATTTTCAATATTTTGATTTTATTCTAATATTTCTGGCTGTTTGTTGGAATTATTGATTTCTTTTTGGTCTCTTCTCATTTTCATGGAATTCATTTCTTTAGGTAAATTTTACCACTGCCCTCTCTAAAATAATTATTCCTCTCCTAATTCTTTTTTCTAGAGCTTTAAAGGTTTTTAAAAACCATTTTTAACAAAAGGACTTTTCGAGCTTTCATTTCTTTCCTTTTTAATATTTTGTTTCATTTCTTCTAGTCCTTGTGAAAAATCCACTTTGCAGCTATTTTTGATACTGGTTGGTGCATTTAAAAAATTACTCATCTTTTAATTTTAGTTCCTGATCTGGGTCTTTGTACCAGGGCCAGGTTCTATTCCCTGCTATGTGTTTGGGTAGAGTGATGGTATCTGCTTGGGCAGGGCACCCTGGGTCCACCTAGGTTCCTGAGTTGCCTTTCCTTCTGGATTAGGCTGTGCTTATTTTTGAGGTTCAAAGTGCTGAATCTTCAGGGGCCTCTCAGTACAGAGTGCTTGGTACCTAATACCTCTAGGCCTGGGCTGTCCTTGTTTGAGAGGTATGGCCCAATGCTGGTCCTTCTGCTGTGGCCTTCTGATCACCCTAGGGATTTCTGATACTCTGCAGCTAAGGAGAGCCCTCTGTTTTCCATCTGAAAAAAGAACCTTATAGGTTACAAGTTTCCCTGACCAGTTCTGGTTGTACTGGGAGGATTTGGCAGTGGGTTTGCTGGAAGGATCCTCCTTTTCTATTCTTTTGATCTCCTGCACAATTTTGGAAGGAAGAGACCATGTTTCTTATTGTATTTTCTTATCATTATTTAGTCTAATGTAAATTTCAGTATTTTGTCCCTCTAGTATGTGGGAGTCTTGGGCTACCTACTCCCCACTCAGGCAGCTATCTTGGCCAGAAATCTATTTACAGTTAACCCTTCCACTTCACAACTTTCCCCATTATTGTTTCAATATATCACAGGTCAGCACAAGAAACCAAATGGCAATTTTGGGGAAGTATTGTGGAAACCACATATGATGACACGTGAAGGCCAGCAGATGGCACAGAAAAAGTTTAGAAACTCAGAAATGCATAAAATATATGTAAAGTATTGTATACTATCAACATATTTTATCTTTTAATACCACAAATATACACAATTTCTTTTTTAAAGTCAAAATAGGTAAAAAGTTAAAATTTGCAAAAAGAATGCTAAAGCCAGGAGATGACATTCACCTTTATATAACATTCACCTACATATAGCCTATGACCAAATAATTAACCCAAATTTTAAAATAAGATACTGTAAACACTCCATAAAAAGAAAAAGAAAAAATTCAGACTTCTCTGGCATGAAGGGAAGACCAAAAATTTTTATGGGGATTTTCCAGATCCTGGGGGTGCCATACCCCTAATCCCTGTGATATGGAAGGGATAACTGTATTTATTTGCTTCTCCTCTCCTTCCTCCTCCTGTTCCCTGCTCCCTGTAGTCTATGCTATATTCCCACAGTACACCTGTGATTCCTCATCAGCTTAGCTCTCTGTCTTCCCTTCTCCAGGGATAAAGGTAGAAATTCCCCAGGTGAGGAAGCATTGGCAGTCACATAGTGATTTCTCTCTCACAGACAGATTTTGTAGTGAGCTCTGTATGTTAGTTACTATGTCCATCTGAAAATGGACCATCTGATATGCTCAACTTAGTACTACAGAATTCTGTCCTTTGGGGCTTTCCTGATATATATTTGAGGTAAATGATCACTGAATGAAAAATCACTTCTAGCTGTTTCTTGGTTTACCTGTTGCATTCAGAGTTTCCAGAGAACTTCAGAGTTCAGAGGGGTCTCAGAGATATTTATTGCGACCCAGACTTAACCAAGGATCCAATAAGCAAACTCTCTACGATAATGGTCATCTGTTCTCCATTTGAAAACTTCTAATCAGGTGGAACTAATACCTCCTAAAATAGCCCATTCCTATTCACTTATTTATTTATTTTTGCATAACCAGTAGTTAGGACATTTTTCCTTATAAATTTTGACTAGACTTTTGCTTTCATTTGTGTAGGGAGGTCTCATGAGAAATTTTTTCTACCAGTGCAAATCAAATATCTTCTGTACAGTTTATACCCTTGGAAAGGCTGCGTGGATTAATGGCTAGAGATTTGGCCTCTGAGTCATGAAGATCTGGGTTCCAATCTACCGCCTTACACATACTGTCTGTGTGAGCCTTTCAGTGACTCAGACATCCTTTTCCTCATATTAAAAACAACCTACCTGAGTTAGCCCTTTGATATGGTTATACTACTTAGTGGGAAGAAACCTTCCAGAGAGACCACAAGGAGAACTGTGGGAGTGACTTTTATTCTTAGTTTCAGTCTCCTCAGTGATATCTAGAGGAGTGTTAAAATCTCTGGATCCTCCTACTTGCCCTGTTCCCCCAGCTCTCTCAACCCTATTCCATCTGTAGTTGTTCTCCTGGCTTCCTGGATCATCTTAATTTTTATCCTTCAGATGTAAATATAGTCCCTTTCAGAGATCAGGAAGAGACACCCACCCTATGGACATGATACCATTTCCTAGAAGACTAATGGGGTTTCAGGAAAGGGAGTTAGGTCCTTTTGGCTTCTTCATCTTATCCTATTTTTGAAGTATCCCCAAGATAAAGGAAGTATCAGCCTGCCCTCTTATTGCTCTACAGCCCTTGTTAGAAAACAAGCTCATCTGGGCTGTCCTCGTTGCTTCCCTTTTCTGTTGCTACAGAAATTGGTCAGATACTTAAGCTCTAAGGGAGTAATTAATGTCTCCAGTTTGCTGCATACTCCAGTGCCAACAGGACTCAAAAGACCAGTTCCTAATATAGCCTTTTTCTTCCTAGAATTTGCATCCACTCACATTTTCTGTTCTAAAACCACAGGAAGAAACCACATTTGTTTTGCACCTCATAAAAAGTCTGGTTACCTTTACTTGAAGAACAACACAGACTTACAGAGGTTGAGTAAAAAAAGTTATAGACATAGCCTCACCTAGTCCTATGCTTGCCTTGTGGACATTTGCACCATCGCTCTTCCTGGCATTGATACAAAATCAAACTGAGAGGCAGTCCTACTTGAGTGAGTGAGCAGGTACACTTGGAAAGAAAGGGGACTTTGAGAATGAGAATATATCTGGACTCTGTGTTCCAGAAGGAATGATGTTGGTGACCTCTGCATGCAGTTTATGGACTCTTTCCTGGCAGGTTCTGCATTAACCAGTACGACTCAGGTTTTAACAGCTCTATTTAGGATACACACTGGGGAATCAATTCAGTGAACAAACAAAAGGTGCCCTAGGGAGCTTGTTTTGAAGATACTAATGAACTTCATTCTTTGGCTACTTTGGAAGCAAAGTCATTAACAGATGGCTAAGGGAAAGTGGTCCTGAGAGAAAGGAAGGAAGGAAGGAAGGTGTCAGAGGGACATCAGTTGTAACTCTAGAGTTTGGTAAGAGAAACAAGGAGGACAAGGTTCAAGAGCCTGCTGCCTACTGGGCTGCTGGTATCCTCAACACTGCCCCAAATATCTGCCATCTAAATCAGGAGCCAACTTAATCTTGGATAACGGCTATCTACAGGAAATCTTTCCTGTTTTCCTAGGGAACTGGGGAAATGATGGAACACACTAATATTGTACCTTAGGATTTAGAGTCAGAATGGGACATAATGGCTTTTCAGTGAACCTCTTAAATTTACAGATGAGGAAAGTGAGGCCAAGATGCTAAGTTTCTCACTCATGCATATACGGGGAGCCAATGAGAGAGCCAAACCTTGAGCTCAGATTATCTGAGTCTGCATTCAGCATTGTATCCCTTTAACCATGGTGTTTGCAGGTTGGAGCAGTGTATTTCCCCTCTCTGCAAGGGAAATGTCCTCTTGAAGACTGCTTTCTAAGAGAAAACTACAGAATTTTTGGTCAAGATTTCTTTCTACCCAGTCATTCTCTAGCCCCAATTTCCTCTCTGATCTTGCCTCTTAAGGCTTCTCATGTCCCTCTGCTCTCACTCCCTCATTCACTTACACAGCAGTGACATACTTGAGTTCTAATAGATACAATTTGGCTTCAGAGACTTACTGACCATATGACCTTGAGAAAGGTGTTTAACTTCAGTTTGCTTCAGTTTCCTCTTCTGCAAAATGGGGATGATAGTAATAGTATCTATCTCATGGGGTTGTTCTGAGGATGAAATGAGGTAATAGTACAGTGCCTAGTAAAATTAGGTACTATATGAATGCTAGCTATATAATTATTCTTATTATTAATTTGAAAGAATATTTAGATTTTTATCAGATCTATGGAGCTGTGTGGGACAGCAGCCTTATGGGCCAGAATGGAGAGGGGATTCACACATGATTACCACCCTTACCCATTCCTGCTCTTATGCTTTGATGTATTGTGGGAGTGCTCCTGGGTTCTGGAAGTCTCTGCCAGTGGAGCTTAAATCCTTATAGGCTCTACCATAATGAAAGATTTCAAGTATTTTCCAGTCAGAAGTGTGCCGGTAAATGTTTATCAACTAGCTCTCTTACAAAAAATGTGATCTGCATCATTAGCATTTGCTCCTTTACTCTCTTAATTCAAGACAATCAACAAAACAGTAAATCCAGCCCTCATTTGTAACATTTGCTGATTTCTGAGGTGTAAATGCTCACACTGAAAACTGAACAATTATCTCCTGAGTCAGTAAGAGCTGGCTCCAGCACATCACTGGGTGTAGGTAAATGACTGCATCTGCTTTCTGAGGACCATCTTAGCTGAGCATAGAAAGGCTCATTGCTAGAAGACTAGATGATGACTTCTTCATGGCAACTCATTAAATAAAGAAAAATACAAAATATCCTTCAGTTCAGTACTTAATTTTTTTTCTTTTTTATGTTTGAGTTTCTTTATTTATAAATATGTACATAATAAAGTACACCTAAGTGTATCTTCGTTTATAAGCCCTGAGAAAAGTACTCCAAATGCAAAGTATATTATTATATGATATAGTAATATAATTAGGACTGTCCAGGGAAAAGTCTATGGTTCCAAATGTAACTTAAAAAAACCACGTATCCAAAGTGTAACTCTTTTATATCAACAAGAAATGTTGATGTAACAACATCAAAGAGGCCAGTTTACTTATAAAAGATTAATTAGCATTTTGTGCAATATGAGTACATAAAAAGGGCAAGTTACAAAAAAAAGTTATGCTCTCAGTGCCAATTTATGTGGCCACTAGTAAACTGAAAAGGACTACAACAGAAGGATCGGCCTCTGTCCAATATTCATGTTATTTCTGTCTTCAGATGCTGCCAGAAGCACTTAGTTTATCTCCCAGGTTTTGAATAATCGCACCTGGACACGAACACCAGGGTAATTTTTCCTGCCACAATTGTGTTCCAAACTGGTAATTCCCATTAAGTAAAATTTGCCGGCATCTGGAAGGTAACACATTAAAGGCTCACCACTGTCACCCAGGCAAGTATTAATAAATTCATCTTCTTTACCTGCACAAAATGAAGTCGCGGCAACGCATCCTCCATAGCTTTCTTGGTGTCCCAGGGAACACAATGTAGTTCATTCAGCTTCTTGTAAAGTATTTGAAGCACATACGTGAAGCTTCCCCAGACTGACCACACGGCGGCGCCCACAAGCCAAGGCCCCTTATGTGTAAGGACTGGGGACCCGCGGCAGCCGCAGCGTTTTTTCCCAGTCCTCTGACGTCAACGCTAGGCTCGGGCTGGCTTCTCAGAGGGAGGGGCCTAGTACGTAATTTCTTTTTCGTAGTAACCACCAAAACCCCAACTTTAAAAAGATATGAAAAATGAACCTAAGATTAAAAAAAAAAGTGCAGGTAAACAAAAACTGTAACTCACGTTCTGGAATGTCATTAAAAGGAATTAGGGAACAGAGGCGTTGGCTGCGGGCTGGCAGCGGTGGTTTGCTCTCACCTAAATGCGTTCGGACTTCGGCTGCTGCTGGCTTCCGCGCTGCAAGCGGGGCTCTCCACAGGGATCTGAATTATCATAGGAAGCATGCAAAGAGTTGGGTTTCTTCAGCAATTTGCTCTGTAGCTTTTGTGATCTTGGACAGTTTCCCTTAACTCATCTGGATCCTGATTGCAGAGGATGCTGTCAGAAAGAAGCAATTTTGAAACCCGAAGGCTATATGCAGGAGCTGTTCTTGAAGTATGTGGATGAAAACTAGGCGGTTCCCCCAAGTCCGGGACTGCAAATCTTGGTTAGGACCCTGCGCTAAAGTTGTTGGATGACAGTGGGAACATAACTAAGAAGAACTAAGCATCCAAAAATGGGACGCAGATCGTTTAGAAGAATTCTTCAATGAAAAATTAGAACGTATGTAAAATATGCTTTCAGTTTTGTCACTTCCTTCTTAAGTGAATTTTGCAGGACCAATCATTGTAATCTTTGGTCACCTTTGGGCGATTGATTCCTTACTGTACGGCATTAAGTACTTTCTACTTTGAATTGAAAGTTTCTGCATCACACACCATTTAAAACCAGTTGGCCAACTGTACAAAGAGTCCGTTTTAGTTATTACCACTAATGAGATGCTTTGTGACAAACTTGTAACTGATCACGCAAATGCTAGGATTTGTCATAATTGGACCAGTTCAACACACATGAGACTTTAAAACTAGGGAGGTGAATAAGAAAATGATGATTATGTCTTGTCTGTACCCTGTACTCCTTCTTTGTAAGCAATGACTGGAATTCACAAGCAAATATGATGTACTGTGACTCAAACATTGCCTGCCAATGACCTGACGTTTGTGACATCCCAGCTTTCTTTTTAATAGAAATATAATAGTTTATAATGAATGCTAGTTCAGAAAACATTTCATCACTGTGCGTGGATTCATTATTTGTAGCATTCTGAGATGCACTCGTTACTGAGATTCACACACAAAACCCTGAGAGGGCTTGTGTAAATCCGACATTTGGTGCATTCTTTTCAGTTTTGATTTTGCTGTAGTGAATAAGGAAAAAAAAAGATTCATTTACTAAACTGAACTAGAATTAAAAATTAAATAAAAAAATCAGAATTAAAGTTTTCCAACTCTTGGCGGGGGAAAAAAAAGGAGTTAGGACCTGCTGCTGAAACCCTGAACTGCCTTCAGCAAGTAATTCACTCGACACCTGATTTCCCTTGAAAATGTGAAACATCCTCCGGTGCTATATAAAAGCTCACAGAGCTGGCTCTTCCTGGGCGCTGCAGCCCAACACTTCCCATCCAGCTATTCGCTCACCAGGAATAATTCGCTCACCCTATTGAATCAGAACAGAACTCACAGCAAATAACCAGCTTAGTTTACAGAAAGACCTTTAGAAAACTTTTGCCACTAGAGTGGAGCTGCAGATGCTTCTCCTCTATTAACCTCGAGGTGGCGCTGAAGGGCTGGATCCCACTATACCACGACATTTGTATGTAATTTGTATTCAGCTAGCATGAGCTGGCAGGTGAAGTCAACTGCTCCTGCTATTGGGTTATTCAGATACCTCTGACAAAGTTGGTTTTTTTTTCCGACCCCTCTTACTCTCCTACCTGTTTTTTTTTGTCACTTTAATTTCAGTCTTAGCCACAGTCATCTTTAGTGCATCTGCCTATTTCAGTGACTTAAATCAGTCTCTTGGAATTCAGTAACAACTAACCAAATTTCCCCAATGAAATAGTCCTTATTTTATCATTCTTCCTTCTCCAAATGATTTCTCATTTTTTCACTTAGTTTTACCCTGATTGGTCTTAAAACAGTTATATGTAAATGGCCAGGAGGACCACAATTCTCAGAAGCTCTAAGTCCTTTGGACAGTCTTTACCATATTCTGTGTCCTTGACATGGTTTCTTCATGCTCACCTATAATCAGTTTTTAATAAGTAAAAGCATGTTGCCTTTTAAACTATCCAATTGGTCACCCGCAGAAGAGGAAAATAAAGAAATATATAATACTTTGTTTATATCCTTTGCCAGTAGCTATAACTTTTTCTTTAGGGAAAAAGAGTTTTTTTTTTGTCTACCCCTTTTAGCATCAAACTTCTCTGTATGAAAAAAGTTTACACATTGTTTCACTTTTCTAATGACAGATATGTCATTAGATATTTTGGATCTTTTCTTTATTGATGTCATATCTTCCTTCATTTTCTTTAAAATGTTTATTATCTAATTTGATGTCTTAGATTAGGTCCCTTTGCATTTCTTGGTAAATTGTTGAAGTTTATTTGTTTTTCAATTTTTGTTTCTGGATCTTTTAGTAAGTTGTATTTGTTTATCATACTGGAAGCTTTATTCTGTTGTTTACTTAGTTGCTTGTCATTTCCTACTTTCTATTTAAGCAGCTATTCCTTTGAGGCTCTGTGGTTGCTCCCCTTCTTTTCTCTCTTTCCTCCTTTAAGCCTCTAATTTGGGTGGATTTTTATCTATTCAAAGAGGACTGAGGAGCTTTATATGCTCCTTGTGATTCAGTCATCTTGTTGAAATCCTGGGAATGCATTATTCAAAAGATAATTTTGGAATATTTGAAAGGGGAGTGGTAATGCCCATGTACTTACATGACTTCATTGAAAATGGGCTATGCTTCACAAATAACACCTTCGTTTCTTTGCAATACTAAGAAAACAGTCAGGAGGTAATGATAGATTGAGAAAATCTTTTTTTACAATGCATAAAGTATTTGGGAGTTAACCTGCTAAAACAGATTCAGGACTTACATATGCAACTATGCAACAACCTTTACAGAAATAAAGCAAGAGACATAATTAGAGAGAATTTCAGTCTTCATGGTTGGGCTATACCAAGATAGTAAAAATAATGATAGTAATGAAATTAATTTATAGATTTTATGCTAGATCAACCAAGCTGTTAAGGGGTTGCTTTGTAGGAAGAAAGAGCCTGGAATTTCAAGTAAAATAATAATCAAAGCAGAAATGATGATTTTCTAGCATTACCAGATGTCACACTGTATAACAAACCAGTAATCATCCTATTGGAATGAGTTAGAAAATTTGAGGAAGGAGATCAGTGGAACAGACTAGACAAACATATTAATCTTTCCTAGTTTTCTTTCTAAATGGCTGACAACTCTTTCTTGGTTTCCTTTGCACACTGTCCTTTGCTGTAAGCTTAGGTACCCCTTCAAGCTCTGGCCTGGGACCTCTTCTCTTTATTTCTATATACTCTTTCTTGTGGAGCTTGTCAACTTGAATGAATTTGATTATCCTTTTTATGCAATTGACATCAAACTCTATATAATGCAGCCCTGAGCTTTCCTTTTCTCCACTTGCCTGCTGGGTATCTCTTCCTGGATGACCCATAGAATTATTTAACTTATCATGTCCAAAAAGGAACTCATTATTTTCTCCCCAATCTATCCCTCTTCTTAATTTCCTTCTAGTCACTTAGATCTGCAACCTTAGAGCCACTTCTTTCTCCCTAATATCCAATGAATTGTCAAGTATTGTCAATTTCCTTACCTAACTCGTACATCTCTCCTATTCTCTCTACTCACATAATTACCACCCAAATTCATTCCCTATCACCTATGACATAGATTACTGAAGTAACTTTCAAATTGTTCTCTCTTTTGCTCTCTCCCTTCTCTAATCCAGCATTCATACATCTGCCAAATTGACATTCCTAAAACACAGTTCTGCTAATGTCATTCCTCAGTGATTCTCTATTCATTTGGGGATAAAATACCAACCTCTCTCTTATATTTAAAGTGCTTCACAATATGCCCTCAATGAACATTCTCAGACCTCTCTCATATTAATCTCTCCTACACAGTCTCCAACAATTGTTACAGAAATTTAGAGGTAGGATACCTATAGGCATATGTGAGTGTGTCAAAATTCTATCTTGTTCTAGTTCCCCTGATAACCCCACCTCCCTTCTGGTTAGTATAGTTAGTAAGTTTATAAGTAGCCAGCTTAAAGTGGCGATAGCAGGAAGTAAGAGTCAATCAAAAGTATATAGTTATACTTGAGAGTAACTAATTAGCAAGGGCAAGCAGATTTACAGAGAATTTTGTCCCTAAATTGCTTGGACCATGCCAGGGGAAAGACCTTGTGTGGTGAGGGGGTAGGCCGCATTTATTGATCTAGTTATGATAAATTTGAAGTGTTTAATAAATGCTCAAGTCAACAAGCATTTATTAAGTGCTTATTATGTGTCAGGCACTGTGTTAAGCACTGGAAATGCAGATGTAAGCAAAAACAGACATTCTCTGCTTCCAAGGAGCTAGCATCCTTTTTTTTAAATTTTATTTTATTGTTTTTAATCATCAAAAATCTTCCTTCTCTCCCTTCCCCACCCCCCCTTAAGAACAAAACAAAAAAACTTCTGTTACAAACATGTATACATGTATACTTTGACTATATCCAAATATCTATATCTATCTCACTCTGCAATGAGATGTTCTCCCCTTTTTCAGGAGTTGTGTTAGTCATAACACTGATAAGAGCCCAGTACAATACTATTCTATCACATTTTATATGCCATAGTTCTTTTTGTTTTGTTTTGTTTTTTCCTATTTGCCTCCTTGACATGTTGTTGTTCATTTTACTTGTGTCTGA